GTATATGCTCACAATTATTACACGTACTGTCCCTTATCTGCTAAGCTACTCAGGTTTACGTGAAAGCTCCATGATCAGGTGTGATAATAAATCAGTCCCCTCCATGAGAGGCATTTCCGCAATCGCACCGGCACGCCCATAACGCGACTCAAACCTGGGAAACAAAAGCGTTGGTATCTCGCACCATCCACCCAAGAAGTTTTTCACTGAAATAAACGCCATTGCTAGATGCGGGGCTGTGGTTTCTTTTTCCTTCTCTCTGCTCTATCGTCGTGCCTGAGCTCTCGTGCAAGCGTTCAGTGTTTTTTCCTCGTTCGCTCACATAATGCTAAAAGTAAGCAGAGTCTTGTTTACGGGACTGTCAGGGTTTTTTGCTTTGTTACCATGAAACCCTAGAACCCACACCCCGCCTTTGGAAAAGCGGTTGCACTCAGGAAATGATTATTTTTGAAAATTGCTGGGAACATTTGATTCAAAGCGTCCTCACCGCGACAAATGTCTTTGTAAAGCGTTGTGGACGGTTCACATGAGCATTTCCCGTTATGGCAAATGCTGCCACCTTGGCATTGTTCGTTTACCAAACATTTCCCATTCACTTTCACCAGTTCCAAGCACGTGCCATTGACCTGTAATTAACTCTCTGCATGAGTCATTTTCGAGGAAACTATCTTGGAAACTCGCCTTGACTTTATCGCCGGAGCATGATGGTGTTGTCTGCTGAAGGATTCTCTCTCCTTTTTCAACACAAACGAAGTTAACACACTCCTGTTCATTGGGGCACTGCGTACGGAGAACACATGGCGTCTTTTTTCCGCGATTCCTGCAAAAATTGAATAATCAATATTTAACATTGTACAAATATAGAGTGGTAATACCTGCAGGTCCCATTGATGAGGATCATATCTGCACCGCATGACGGTCCAACAGCAGTGATGCGAGACTTGACCGTTGTAGTCGAAATATCTGTAGCAGGTGATTTCTGCGGTGCAGCAGTACCGGTGACCTGAGATGAATTCCTCTTATTCACAACTTAAGTGAATGGGTATGTCAGTGGGAAACACTAAACTTGTGGCATCCCATAACCACAACCAGAAGAACTGGGGCAACTCGTGGGGAGGGCTCCGGAAGAGTTCTTGCGATAAGACTCTGTTTGTGTTAGAATATACCAGGGTGACCAAAAAAAGTTCTGGCAATTTCATTGTTTGTGCGTTCTTTTTGAATCGCATTGTGTCTGTTTCTCTCCGTATGAGTTATTGCTTATTCCGCAAGCCATTTTCGAACTTACCTACGACTATCTATCCAATCACTTCAATTTCTCCTCGCCACTGCTCTCCGAAAAAATTCAAAAATTGCAGTGTTGAAATCCATCTTTCTGCGGGCTTGCTTGCTTGAAGAATGTGCTCGCCACCGACGAGAAAAATTTTTCGATCACAACTACCGGAATTGTTGTCTGCTCCTCAGAAAAGGTCAACAGAAGGCAACGGCTGTGAAATCCGTCGGACGCAGACTCTTTCCAGCCTCAGTCACGGTCTGAGGCGGGATCTGTGCCACCGGAAAGACCTCTCATTTCTTCATCGAGCGCATCGTAAAGATTAATGCTGTCTACTCCCAACAACGCGTTCTCCGCGATGTACTGAAGCCATGGGTGTCGTAGCACTTCGGCCCGGATGGACACGTGCTTCAGCAAGACTGGAGCCAACACATCCTGCCAAACCCACGAACTGCCGCTTGTGAAGAGCTGTTTCCCGATTTTGGGGCAAGGACGTTTGGCCTCCCAACTAGCATGGTCCGAACCCCATGGATTATTCCATCTAGGTCGAAAAAATCTCAGAATTCGCAGGCCGCAAACGGTTTACCACCTGAAAGTGGCGTTGCTGCGTGTTTAGGACCAAACTACAGCAGAAGAATGCGCGACCATTGTCGGACACTTTGGAAAACGACTACGTAAATGTGTTGAGGCTGAGGAGGCATTTGAACACTTGTTGAACTTTTTCTACTCGCGTCATTCAGTACTGATTAGATGAAGACTCCCAGACGTTTAGTTGGCTGATTTCCTTTTTCGAACGGTATTTTTTATGCTACCGAAGTATTCCGAAAAATTGCCAGAACTTTTTGGTCACCGTGTATAGATGTATAGGAATTCGCCCTTTGCAATCAATATTTGTACCCAACTAAGAGGCTCTTCACATCTGGTCGTACCGAAAACGCCCGATCTGCATTGGGAGAGTTCTTAAGATGCCTCCGCTCTCCGCCAATTTTTCTGGTGAATTATCAACCACCTACGCCTCATCATCTGCTTAGACCTAGCTTTTTGATGACGGCGTTCACGCTGTTCTGCTAGTGCAACACAAACCTTTCCATGGTTTTGTCTGGCAGGAAAACTCGCTTGCGGACATGACGATAGCCCTTTCTTCCACTTCATACTGCTTCTCGATCTAACCCAGTAGCCAGTCGATTCCCCGCGGCAATCACCTAAATGTGCGTTCGCCGTAAGAACCACTAATATAAAGGTATTGGAGAAGAAAATGGAGCGATGGGTAACCTGATTTAAGGCCGCAACACTGAAACTGCTGGTTCTCAGTGGAAAACTGACAGAAATATCCCAACGGGCAAGTATTTCCAGATGCTGTACAAAGAACTACTTGACTGCGTTCAACCAGCGCAACTTGATTTGAGAGGCAGCCTTTTTCTGAAAAATTTATAATTATGCAAAATTCGGTGCCAGGAAAGCAGGGTTCAATTCACCTCGATTGCCGATTTCACTCTCATCGGATGGAACCTTCCCACAGCACTGATAGCGTTGGAAGAGGACGGCGAATTGACAGGTGAATCCTGCAGGACAGCTTCGGCTTGCGTTGAATGGATCGCATTCAACCACTTTCTGCTCACTGGTCAATGCATATTCTGCCGGTGGGCAACCCTCTGGAATGGGAAGAAATACTGTCCGGTTTTCGCCGTAACTGCCACTTCATACCTGTGACAGCATTGATGTCTACTTTACAGCAGAATCCACTCGTGGATTGTGGTTTGGGTAGCTGGCATTGATAACCCAAAGGGCATGAGTGGTAAAGTCCAGGTGTACAAATTCGTGGCATTTTTGTGATATCATCGACAATAAAGTGGGCTTCTCCTTTGCAAACACCTAAAAACAATCCAGGAATTCCAATGTGGAACGAGCAATGATTTTATTCACTCACTCCGTTCCGTACAGCAGAAACCTTGAGCCACATCTTTGATTCGCGATTGGCAACTAAAACCTGTTGGACAATCATTGAGGGAACCTAGGACACATCGACGAGGCAGAGAACTTTGACGTGTGCGGAACAAAGCTCTTCCTTCAGGACAAACGTCTGTAACGGACACATCTCAACTCCAGTAAAGAATAACCAGTCACTAAATGTTATTTTGGATAGCAGTCACTTCTGGTGGATTCGAAAACAAGCTGTGCACTCACCTCATGGGACGGTTTTTGCGATGTGTGGGGTGATCGAGTCCGCAACTCCAGTAGCGTGCCATTTTCTCCGCTCGAAATTGCACGGGAACGGAGCTGGAGGGTAGCTGGAGGGAATGCCGTCTCCCGAATACGCCCGCGCTGTCCTGGAGGTGCAGCACTTAGATCG